CTTGGCTTTACCACAATTTGGAGTGGTTAAAGTAGTTGTGATGTGGTTATTCCCATGATGAGATCGGATATACATGTTTTGAGCAGCCAATCAGTTTAAAGGGAGTTTCCCTAGGGTTGTGTGCTATTTCCAATAGATATATGGGCATCCTGGGAAAAAGACAAAAACTCTTTTGTGCTGTTGTGCTGCCTACAACTGTCTATGAGCAAACAATCCACAATTTGGCCTGGTAATCTTGAATTCATTGTCTGTTAGAGTCAACAGCTGGTATACTGCCTGCCAACCTTGAGCTTGTCAGTCCCTGCAGCTGCATGAGTCAGGAAAAGTCTCCAGCTTGACGTTTGATCCAGGAACTAGGCACTTGCCAGCTTCTGTAAGTGTGTGAGCCATTTTCCTAAGTTAAATTTCTCTATACATATAGGGAGCTCTGGTGGCATAGTGCCTAAGGCATGTGACCACTAACCAGAAGGCTGGTGATTCAGACACACCAGCCACTCCTCAGAAGGAAGACTAGGCAGTCTCATTCTGTAGAGATAGTGCCTTGGAAACCCAAGGAGGGGTCGCTATGAGTCAGATCCGACTCGACGGCAGTGAGTTTTGTTTTGAGGTTCTTATATAGATATAAGTTTTACTGATTTTGCTTCTCTAAAGAACCCTGCCTAATACAGTGTCATCCTACAATTCCTTTGGTATTCGGTCATTGGTGTTCAGTGCATCAAATCTGTTCTTTAGATGGTCTCTAAATTCAGGAGGAGTATAATCAAGGTCATATTTTGGCTCTCGTGGATTTGTTTTAATTGTCTTCAATTTTAAGTTGAACTTGCATATGAGCAGTTGACAGTCTGTTCCACAATCAGCTCCAGGCCTTGTTTTGGTGGAAGATGCTGAGCTTTGCCATCACCTCTTGCCACAGATGTAGTCAATCCAATTCCTGTGTACTCTGTCTGGCAAAGTCCACATGGATAGCCACTGTTTGTGTAGTTGGAAAAACATATTTGCAATGAATAAGTCATTGGTCTTGCAAAATTCTATCATGCGATCTCCAGCGTTATTTCTACCACCAAGGCCAAATTACCCAACTACTAGTGACTCTTCTTTGTTTCCAACTTTTGCATTCCATTCACCAGTAATAATCAACACATCTTGATTGCATATGCTCGGTCAATTTCAGACTGCAGAAGTTGGTAAAAATCTTCAGTTTCCTCATCTTTGGCTTTGGTGGTTGGTGCATAAATTTGAGTAATAGTCATGTTAGCTGATCTTCCTTGTAGGTGTATGGATATTATCCTGACAGCATGGTACTTCACGATAGATCTTGACACATTCTTTGTGACGATGAGTGCCATATCATCCCTCTTGAATTTGTCATTTCCGGCATAGTAGGTCATAGAGTTATCTGATTGAAAATGGCCCAAACCAGTCCATTTCAGCTCATTAATGCCTAGGAAGGAGCTCTGGTGGCATAGTGCCTAACCCATTTGACTGCTAACTAGAAGGTTGGTGGTTCAAACCCACCAGCCACTCCTTGGAAGGAAGACTGGGTAATCTGCTTCCATAGAGATACTGCCTTAGAAACCCAAGGACAGGTTGCTATGAGTTGGGACCACCAACTGAGCGGTAGTGAGTTTTTGGTTTGTTTTTTTTTTAATGCCTATGATATCAATTTTTAATGTATTCCATTTCATTTTTGACAACTTCCAATTGCAAATATCCATTAATAATCAGAATATGGAATGTATGAAGTATGAACCTAGGAAGTTTGCAGCTATTTCTTCTCATTTTGAATCATGCCACGTCAGCAAATGGAGGTCCTGAAAGCTCTACTTAATGTATATCATGAAGGTTGGCTCTACTCTGATGAGGCAGCTCTACCCCAGTACCTTCTGACCTGAGGGTTCATCTTCCAGCACTGTATAGGACAGTGTCTCACTGCTATTCGTAAGGCTTTCCCTGACCAATTCTTTGAGAAGTGGGTGGCCTCTTCCTTCTTCCAAGTCTGTCTGTCTGGAACCTCTGCTGAAACCCATCCATCATGGGCAACCCTGCTGGCGTTTGAAACACCAGTGGCACAGCCTCCAGCCTCACAACAATACACAAGCCACCACAGTACAACAAACTAACAGACAAGTTCATTTCCTTTAGCTGTTCCAAACTGCTTCACTCACTTCCTGGCCTTCCCCTTACCTGTTCCAGCCGTCTGTCCTGGCTCCAGCTTCCTGCCTGGGAGCACTACCCTTTTCTGTTCTGGCCGACTGCCCCTCACTCTCGCTTCCTGCTTGTGGGCTCTCTTCTTACTTGTTCCGACTGTTGATGTCATATGCATGTGAAAGCTGGACAATGAATAAGGAAAACCAAAGAAGAAATGATGCATTTGAATTATGATGTTGGCAAAGAATATTGAAAGTACCATGAACTGCCAGAAGGAACAAATCTGTCTTGGAAGCACAACTGGATTGCTCCTTAGAAGTGAAGATGGCCAGGCTTCATCTCACATACTTTGGGCATGTTGTCAGAAAGAACAAGTCCCTAGAGAGAAATATCATGCTTGATAAAGGAGAGGGTCAGCAAAAATGGGGAAGACCTTCAACAAAATGGATTAACACCGTGGCTACAACTATGGGCTAAAGCATAGTGAGGAAGGTGCAGGACTGAGCAGTGTTTCATTCTGTTGAACATAGAATTGCTTTGAGTCAGAACAAACTCAAAGACACCTAACAACAACAATAAGCTTCAGTGGGTATTTATTGTGGATCCAAGTAAAAGGAAATCTTTGACAACATCAATCTTTTATCCATTTACCATGATGTTGCTTATTGGTCCAATTGTGAGGATTTTTCCTTTATGTTGAGGTGTAATTCCTACTGAGGTGTAATTCCTACTGAAGGCTGTAGTTGCTGATCTTCATCAGTAAGTGCTTTAAGTCTAATTTACTTTTAGCAAACAAGGTTGTATCATCTGCATATTGCCAGTTGTTAATGAGTCTTCCTGCAACCTTGATTCTGTGTTCTATTTCATTTAGTCCAGCTTCTTGGATTATTTGCTAAGCATACAGATTCAATAAATATGCTGAACGGATACAACCCTGATGCACACCTTTCTTGATCTAAACCACACAGTAGCCCCTCGTTCTATTCAAATGGCTGCCTCTTGATCTATGTGCAGGTTACTCCTGATAATAAAACCAAAACCAAACTCACTGCCGTCGAGTTGGATCTGACTCATCGCAACCCCTACTTGGGTTTCCAAGGCAGTATCACTACAGAAGTAGATTGCCCAACCTTCCTTCCAAGGAGTGGCTGGTGGATTTGAACCGCCAGCCTTCTAGTTAGCAGTCAAATGCCTTAGGAGCTAATAAGTGTTCTAGATTTCTTCATAACATTATCCATAATTTGTCATGATCCACAAAGTAGAGTGCCTTTGCGTAGTCAATAAAACACAGATAAACATCTTCTGATTTTCTCTGCTTTCAGCCAAGATCCATCTGACATCAGCAGTGATATCTCTCGATCCATGTGCTCTTCTGAATCTGGCTTGGATTTCTGACAGTTCTCTGTCAACGTATTGCCATGATCATTTTTTAATTATTTTCAGTAAAATTTTACTTGTGTGTGATATTAATGATATTGTTCAATCATTTCTGTATTCTGTGGGATCACCTTTTGTTGGAATGGGCAGAAATAATTGATCTTCTCTAGTCACTTGGCCAGGTAGCTCTCTTCCAGGTTTCCTGGCATAAACAAATGAGGGTTTCCAGTGTTATATTCATTTGTTGAAACATCTCAGTGGGTATTCTGTCAATTCCTGGATCCTTATTAACCAGTCTTTAAAGAACAGGCTCCCTGACTCATAGCGACCCCTCCTTGGGTTTCCGAGGCAGTATCACTACGGAAGTAGGATTGCCCAACCTTCCTTCCGAGGAGTGGCTGGTGGGTTTGAACCGCCAGCCTTCTGGTTAGCAGTCAAGTGCCTTAGCCACTATGCTACCAGAGCTCCCATTGTTTTTCTACAGAGCTACATAACTATATAACTTTACCCTAAACCATGCTAATATACCACTGTATTCCCTGGCAAACATGGAAGATCTCAGGCTCAATGTCAGTGGAATGTGTCTGGGCACCTGAGAGTGGTTGTGCTTGTACTAATTACACCCTTTCATTTACATATTTATGTAGTATCTTTCAAGTGTATATGCATATTCTCATTTGACCTTTACTTCCTTTTAAAAGTAAGTATTGCCCCATCCAACAAATAAAAATAGTGATACTTTAGAGTCAACCAACTCGAAAAGTCTCAAAAATAGTACATGAAAAAATCAAAGCCAAATTCCTGGCTTCTGACATATCACTCAGTGGATTTTCCTCTGTGACTGGAAGGAAAGTGAGGGTATATCTTTGTCTGAGAGAGCATCTCCAAAAGAGAAGCCAATGAAGCAATTAGTACATGGTCTCACAGACACTACCATGACAAAGCCTATCTTTATGCAGTTGTAATTATCTGTTCTTTATTATTATTATTAAAATCATTTGCAATAAATTTTTCTTCAAAAGTGCTTGAGTTAAATTCTCAAGGTTTGACAAGTTTTATCTAAACTAAAAGACAAATGCCAAGTTTGAGAAAACTCTGCATACCTCTAGTAAGTGAGCTTAATGGACATTTCTGAGAATTGCTTCTCAGTTGCTATTCATTTTATGATTACTGACATGTCAACGATTGTGGATTGAATTCAGAATATACCAGAACTGTTGCAGGTAATATTCAGTGTCAAAATCATTTATTAATAACGTAATATTCTCAAGTACTTTTTTTGGTGTTATTTTATTAACTTTAATTACAGAGTTAGATTCTGTTTAGAATTAGTTTTCCAGTTCATCATTTTGACATGTAAACTTTTGGTCCTGGTTTATTTTTTATAAATAAAGAAATGAGACATTGAAGTAGTCAAACCATTCAAGTATCAAATAAATCATCGCATGAATTTTCTCTTTTTATCCATTCTGCAGGGGGTACACAGAGATTGCCACGCACTGTCGGAATGTCCCTGGCAAAGGAGCTCATCTTTTCTGCACGTGTGCTAGATGGCCAAGAAGCCAAAGCAATAGGCTTGATCAGCCATGTCCTAGAACAGAACAAAGAGGGGGATGCTGCCTATAAAAAGGCCTTGGACCTTGCAAGAGAGTTTTTACCTCAGGTATTTCTAATTGTATTTCCTCTTCTATCAATAACATATAGACAAGAAAAGCAATCATCTCACATATCTGAGATTGCGCTGGCTTCTGTTACAGAGAAAGGAATATATGGCAGTAAACCTAGAAACATTATGCTGGATTAACATTAACACCCTCTAAAATTAAAGTTACAATTTTAAAATAATCTGAGGGCAGCTGTAGACATCCTTTGACAATATATTACATGAACATTTATCACACATGGCAAAACTTCTTAGAAAATTATTTTAAGTGGTTCATCAACTGAAACTTCCAATTTGAGTCATGCACATGGAGAGAGACTGATGAGTGGTCCATTGTGTTGGACCATTCCCAAGTTGGAACACATTGAAATACACCGTTTTCTAACAGTAAGAGGGCTCCAATCTGTTATGTCAAAGTGGGCTTTCATTACAATGGCTTAGCTTAAAATAACCTGTTTGATGAAAAGTGGAAGTTTCTTGTTTTACTGTGTTTTTAGGATGATATTGGCATTATTTTGCTCCTTTGTGCACAACATACTTATATGCCACTGGCAAAATCCAGAACACACTCCCCATTGACCCGAGTATGACTACTCTGATGACTGATATTAGCCAGAGTGCATTGGTGGTCCTGTTTTAAGGAATTCTTTGTCCTATCACTCAGGTGTTTTTTCAGATATTCCTATGGTCTGAAATCATGGATTATAGGATTTTAACTTGATAGGAGAGGTCTTTTGCTATGAAATTAATTATATCTCTTCACACCTGCTAGAGTATGAAGTTTCATAAACCTACACAACCATTTCTAGAGTCAGAATAACTTCCTCTCTAACTCAGGTCAGTTAACTCAACCAGGATACATACCCTGTTTTTAGGCCACAGAGCCCTTTGAGAATCTTAAAATCTCTCACCAGAAAAATGCATATATCCATCCACATTTGTTCAGAGTGTTGCTTCATTTTCTCAGTGTGAGAACCTTTGCAGGCATCTAGAGATGCTCAGAAAGGGGCACAGTGCAGACCAAAGCTCTAGAGCTGGTAACATTCCATACATAGGCCCTTTTATTCTGATCTTACAGGCTTGAGTGCTCATAAAACTGCCAAGCTGTCCCTGGTATCTTTATGCAGTGGCACAAGTACGTAGGAGAGGTGGAGACTAGGCTCCAAAAACAGGGGTGCCAGGAAGACCTTGCCATCTTCTATATACTATGGTGGCAGCTCTGTCTTGTAGTTAACCAAAACATGTCTTCCGTTGTGGAAGAATAAGCTGTCTGCCTAACTCTGCCAGTTGCCTCCCAACTTAACCTTTTTCTCTCTGACAAAAGTCTTTCCTGTGTGCTCTTGTCACATTACTGTTGTTGCAGGGCTGCTGCAAATTACACAATTTCCATTCTCCAAAACCTGTAGTAAGCCAGCATTGTCTATGGTGATAGAAGCTAGGACCATGGTTACTCACAGGGATGAGAGAGAGTTGATTGGAATGAGGCATAAAAGAACATTCTGAGTGATAGAAATGTGTGGTGGGATGGTTATACTGTATAACATCGTTTATAACTCATCAAATTGTGTGATTAAATTTCAATTTAAAAAAAAAAAAAAAACCTGTGGTCATTTCTCACTGGTTGCAAGTGTTAGACTCTGGCCTAGCCTTTGAAAAGCTGTACTGTCTGACCTCAGCCTCCTATGTAGCCCTGTCCCAGCCTGCTCCATGGCCAGTACTCTGTCCTAGGGTTTCAATTTAATAGGCCAGTCTCCTCTTTTTTTTTTTTTTTCAGTCTCCCTAATGTACATGTGCCAAAGGGGCAAGGAGGCCTCATCTTCTGACCTCCTCTAACCCCACAAGAAGAAGACAGAATCACCATCAGTAGCCCAAGGCCTATTCCTGCAAGGCCAGACAAGCCTCCCTCCAGCCCTTTCACCAACCCTAACACCAGTGGTTCCTCCCACAGCACCCACCACCTCTCTGCTGGGTTCAGTAATTCACTGCACTTACCACACAGAACTCACAGATTGTGAGGTTTATTAGGGAAGCAACAGGCTACAGTTCAAGTTCAGGAACACAGTCTTTCTCAGCCCACTGTCTCTCAGCCAACAGTCTCTCTCAGTCTCTCAGCAGTGGGTGTGTCTCAGTGTTTCTCTCCCAGCAGTGCATGCCTCTCACAGTCTCTTACAATGCGTGTCCCTCATGTCTCTCTCAACAACACGTTTCTTGCATCTATCTCTCGGCAATGCATGTCTCTCGCGTCTCACAGACAGCAGTGAGAGGTTTTTTTCTGTCTCTAGGAGGTCTCCTTTTGAGCCTGGCAGAGTGACAAACATCAGAATTCTATACACCTGAGAGAGAATGAACTTCCCAGAAGACTGCTTTGTGCTGCTCCCGACAGAAATACCCCAGTGGATAACTTGAACAATCAGGAGCTACTCAGATGCTCACAGCAAATTTCACCATGGAGTTTACAAAGACTTATGGCTAGAAAAGCCACACTATGTAATTTACTACACCACAACGTGGAACCCTGCTATATAAAGTAGATATAGATAAAGCTGCTTTGTTAATATTAAAGTATGAATTCTGCCATTTACCCATTATAAAGCCTTTTGGTCAGATAACCTGACCTAGTGCATTATGAGTGCCTGCCTGCTTAGTGCCACTCTAAAACATGGTTGGATATCCATATCACAAAAGTTTTTGAGTAGCTTTATATTAGATTGTGAAGAATTAAATTGCTGACAGGTATTTGGGGACCTATTGGAGCATCGTCATGGGATGGTAGATAGCAGTCCACAGACATAGTAGTCCATACTCTAGCCAGTTGAACTTCTAGTGGCTTCCTGACTTTTTCCTACCCTGTGATGACCACTGACTTGATACTCACCTCCTATACCTACTACCACGTTATAGAATCAGACAAGACCCAATTCTTCCATGATCCAGTTAGTCCCTAATAACTCTCTGACTGAAAGCTAACTGTTGAGTTTGTTTTCTAAAACCACATTGCTTGATATTGCTATTACTTTGGTCTTTCTTAATTAATTTATAAGCAGTAAGCTTTTTTTAGGACAGGGACTTCAGATAATTTGTTCCCCTTATTGTGTGCTCTGGTAGCATAGTGCTTATGGCATTTGACTGCTAATCAGAAGGCTGCTCGTTCAAACCCACCAGCCACTCTTTGGAAGGAAGACTGGGCAATCTACTTCTGTAGAGATACTGCCTCGGAAGCCCACAGAGGGGTTACCATGAGTCAGAACTGACTTGATGGCAGTTGAATTTGTTTTGGGGTTTTTTTTTTAAAAGCTAATAGAGCTTTACAGTCAGTCTTACAAGTTCAGTAAAGATTTGTTGAATGATTATAGAGGGAGCAAATAAAGATTTTTACTGCTGAAAAATTTAAAAACACTCTCACTATAACTTTGGTAGGGAACTCTGGTAGCATAGTGCCTAAGGCATTTGACTGCTAACCAGAAGGCTGGCGGTTCAAACCCACCAGCCACTCCTCAGAAGGAAGATGGGGCAGTCTACTTCCGTAGTGATTGGAAACCCAAGGAGGGGTCCCTATGAGTCAGATCTGACTCGATGACACTGGCTATAACTTTGGTATTGGTATTTTCTTCAAAATATTGGCAAAATGTCTACCTAAATAGAGATTAAATCAAGAGAATTACTAGTTTTACTAAATATTTTGGTTTAATGACTTTCCTTGGCTTAGAACTTTGTGACCAAAACATATCTCAATTGAAATAAAGAGATGTATTTAAGAAAGGTTATGGCATAAGTCTGATTCTGATTACCTATGCCCTTCCTGATCTTTCTGAGTTTCATCTTCCACACTCAGAGCTCTACATAGACAGCTCATTAGTCCCTTAACATATCTGGAGTTCAGATTTACCTTCACACCTGTGAACTTGCTCTTTCTCCATGCTCCTCAGTGCAGTTAATGACATAACTGTGCACACATCACCCTGCCTGAGAACCAGTGGCATCTTCTCTGCCTCCTATCCCATTTGTAAGCTGACATCAAGCTGCCCTCCATCATGTGATAAACCATGCTGGCATCACCATGCTAGCTCATGCATTTGTCATCTGTGTCTGAAGAACATTGCTCTGAGAACTCCTAATTGTTAATGTTCACTTTTCTCCAAGTCAAACAGATTTATAAGGAGATGTTAAATGACTTCAGAAAATGTATAACCGAGAAACTACATGTAAAATTTAAAAAATGAGATTTGTGATGGAATAATCTTTATTTTTACAATTGTTATTTTGTCACTGAGAGATTACTATTCCAAATACTTAGAAAGCTTCTGTGAAGTTAGTATTTCTAGATGATTTCTGTATTATATCACTTCCACTTTTCTTTCTAAGAAAGGGTTGTGACGAAAAGACATTAGTTTTAAGTTGTAAATGGGAAGTTGATACAATCAAGCATTCTCTGTAATGTAGTATTTTTCATTTTTCTATTTTTTTCTAGACCATGTTCAACAAAGTAAACCAGCAGAACAGGTATCCTCTGGGAACTCATTAGAAATGCAGAATCCCAGGGCACATCCCAACCTACTAAGTCAGAATCTAAATTTTAACAAGGGCTCTGGGTTTTCATTTACATATGAGGGTTGGAAATTTCTTTGTTTAGATCATTGGTGACAGAAGTAAGTGGAAGAATCCTCATTGGGAGGATCAAGCTATTTAAAAAAAAAATCAATTAATGGCCCTGATAAATGGTACTAGTGTGCACACTACACCTGCAAACCACACTTAGAAGAATTGTGACTAAGGTTCTTGTCAAAGTAACACGGCCTCCAAATTGTAGCCTGTGAAAGGATGTTTAAGTATGTGACTGCAGAAGAGAGTTTAGATAGATCAGATTTGCTAATAGAAATCTCTAAATAGGAGAAAATGTGGTATTTTCATGTATTCATTCATTCATTCATTCATTCACGTAGTAGCTCTTAGAGTTCTTAATTGGATCTTTTATTTAGAACCTACCTTATATTTTAATTCAAACTATTCTTTAAAATATGCCATTGAATTCAAGTTTATTACCTACAAGCAATTTTTTGAAATTTAAAAATAATTTTATCTGGGATATTATGATTCTCTATAGGATAGTTTGGTAAGAGTTCCACAAGACCAGAATGGTATTTTACTTCTCAAAGAGAGTATCTCAGAGAGTATCTCTGTTGATACAGAGAGTATCCTAGTTCTTTCTTATGTTAATACATCCTAAAATACTTATTTAGGCTTCAAGTTTTTTTTGTATTGTGGGGTACTGTCTGTCTGTAGGACATATCCTTAATTAATACACTATCATCTCAGGTCTTGATGCTAATGGAGGAAAGATACAGAGCTAGTGTCTGCAATAGATTATTCCTGAACCTCACATTAACCAATAGTGTCAGCCCCATCTCCAGCCCGACCTTCCATCATAAGCATTAATTGGTGTGGTATCAATCAAACACTCTTCTGTTTTTCTTTTCCCTTCTGAACTTGTAAGGGAATTGTTCATTCAAGAGTTATAAATCCTCTACTGGATTACCTTCTGACCTCTGAGAATCCAGAGCTTGCCTTATAACAGAATGCTTATTGGATTTAAATACCTTGCTGGTTCAATATAGTTACTATACACTGCTTGGTTAAAATTATTCGCCTGCTGCCTCACAACCATTACTGGTTCTATGCCATGGATCCAGCAATGGAAATTTCTGAATGATACTGGGATGTGCAACATATTTGCATAAATAGCAATGAAAATCTGTATTTCTTTAATCTGAATTTTAGGGACCTCTTGCAATGAGAGTAGCGAAACTAGCAATTAATCAAGGGATGGAGGTAAGTTAACTTTTTCACTTGTTTTTTACTTTTGGAACAGAGAATGGAGATTTAATTTAAATGAACCCTGTTTAGATGTGTACATTATTTTTTAATGTTTTAAAATATACCTGTTTGAACCTATTACTGACAGTCACCAGGTTTTTTGTTTTTTGTTTTTTTAGCTACGTCGTTGATTTCATTCTGTTTATGGTGTTGTTGATTCAGTATCATAATTACAAGAGTTTGGTAATATCATTGATATCCCACAATTTATAACACCTTGTTATTTTTGCCATTGAGTTAATAGATTTAGTGATCAGTGGTTCATAGAAATTCAAAAGAAATAAGAATTCGTTTTTTTTATTCTCAGCACCAGTATCATAGTATAAAAAAAATTCCAAGGACAACTTCCTAGCTCTTAGCTGAATCTAGCTATCTCCCCTTTAACATTTCAGTGTGCTTTTCTGCTGGGGGGCCCAACATAGACAAGGCAAATTAGGGGATCCTAGAGATTCTCCAGGGAGATGACTCCAAAGGAGTCAGAGTAGAGACAGACAGGGGAAAGGAGAAGTGCATCACCTATTGATCATGGGTTTTTAAGTACAGCTGTGTTCTAGTTTGATTAAATGATGAGAATTTTGAAGAAAGGTGCTTCTTCCTTTCAGAATAAGAGTTACTATGTCTTTCTGGGCCCCATAGCAATAAAAAGAATTTGGATTTATTAACAGTATGTGTAGTTTTAAAACTTTGCTAAGTACTTGATAAACTTTTCAAAAATTCTTACATAATAGTAACAGTTACACTAGCAAACACCTTAAATAGTCCTTGGTATGTTCCAGATTATATTTATATTACACCAAAAACCAAACTCACTGCCATTGAGTCGGTTCTGACTCATAGCAACACACTCATTGGGCTTTCCAAGGCTGTAAATCTTTACGGAAGTAGATCATCCCATCTTCCTTCCACAGAGCAGCTGGTGGGTTTGAACTACTGACCTTCTGGTTAGTAGCCAAATGCCTTATCCACTATGCCATCAGAGCTCTTTATATATATATTATGTATATTTGTGTGTGTGTGTGTGTGTGTAAATTATACATATATATATATATATATGTATAATTTACTCATATTTTATGTCTCTTAAATGTTTTACAAAGGCTGTACTTGGGTTATCTCATTTAATTTTCACTGTACCCCTATTTCATACATATTACCATTACTCTGATGTTCATACATACCTCTCTGAGACACAGAGAGGCTAAATAACTTACCCAAATTCTCACAGCTTCCAAGTGGTAGAGTGAGGGTTTGAACCCAGGCAGCCTGCATTCCAGCATCTCTGGTCCTCCTTATAATTCTAACCTGCCATATTACTCAGAGGGTTACACTTCTTTGGAGTAGCGTTATTAAATGTGAATTTATATTGAATATACCACATTTTAAAAAGTAATTCCTGCTGAAATGAATTTTGTTCTTATCCTCAGGTTGATTTAGTAACAGGATTAGCAATAGAAGAAGCTTGTTATGCTCAGGTATGTAAAAAAAAAAAAATCATAAATTCACAGATGATACACTCTTACAAATTATGTTTACCTTCTGTATAATTCAGATGAATTCTATATCCTGAGCAAGCCTACCCTTTTACCCATTCCAAAGTCATAAAATGGATTTGAAATAGTAATCATTTGACAATTACTAATGCTAATGATGGATTCTGTTGCACAGACTGGACTAATGACTCTTGTCTACTTAGAGAACTCTTGAGAATAATTACGTTAGTATCATTCACTGTAGCTGTAGTATTTTGTAGGTGTAGACTTGAGTCCTGACTCTATGTGTAGAGTGATGATGGGAGGAGGCCATAAGCAGTGTGGCTACTTTGTGCGTGCTTCTGTGTGTGAGGTTTGTGGGCTGTTCCTGAGCTATAAGCCCTGCCACCTGCCCCCTGAAAGTTTACCAGTTCAAATACATAGCTGCTGCTTTTGTATGCAGTAAGGCTTTCTGTAGAAGACCATAGTCTTCTTACCTATTTATTTTTCTGAGAGATGTAACCTTGCTTTTGGGCATCTGAAACAGCAAAAGAGTTTTGTTTTCCTTTCTCTGAGAACTGAAAATTGCATCTGCTCCCATTCAAGCATGGTGGTGTCCTGAATTGTGAGCAATATGTTGAGTGTGACTCTATGCCTGTTCTGTGCGTATATATCACCACTTGTTGTTAATGCATGCATGCTATGAAAAAAGTAAATTACAGACATCTTAGAAACAGACAACCTCATTGTGTGGAGGAAAATTTGAGGAGGATATTTGGAGTTAGAATGATAAATTTGTTAACATAATTAGGAGGATCGTTCAAATGACTTGTTGTTGTGTGCCATCAAGTCAATTCTGACTCATGGCGACACTATATTACAGAATAGAACTGCCCCGTATGGTTTTCTAGGCTGTAAATCTTTATGGGAGCAGATTTCCAGGTCTTATTTCTCCTGCGGAGCTACTGGTAGATTCGAGCCACCAACCTTCAGTGGATTTCAAAATTTTAGAATGTGCTTCTAATTTATTTTCTCAGATAAAGCTTGTTAAACCTTACAGTTGTTTTTAATTTTTGGTATAAATAACATCATGTTTTCTTTTTCTTAGACCATTCCAACAAAAGATAGACTTGAAGGTCTTCTTGCTTTTAAAGAGAAAAGACCCCCTCGTTACAAAGGAGAATAGAAGAAACATAAGTCTTTAAAATGCCAGTGTAATACATCTACTTCTGGAAGTATCTTTCAGATGCACTATATGCCTCAGCACATGAAATTTCACCAACCAAAGTGAAATGTGAATTATTCCTAAACTGTATTAAATAAACTCTGGATTGGGCCCCTATTACGTGTACCTTGTTCAATTGTATATCTTGCTATGTTCCTTCAGGTTTATAAATCTAGTAGTTTATGTTGTCAAGATCACAAATTCAAAAATACTTACATGTTCTTAAAATTTTCCTGCTTTCCATTTTTAATTTTTCAATGTGAATAATTTATATATTGCACACTTTAGGAAATAATATTGATTGTATGTCTACTCTGCTTCATTAAGACAATAAAATGATTTCTGTATACCAAAAATGTGAAGTTATACCAAATATCATTTATAAAGGATTATACACGTGCACATATGTGCTCATATTTACATGTATTCATCTCAACCTGATTCTGAATGAAATTACCAAATATAAATAAAATTAGTGAAAAGAAAACTTGACATTTTTTCTTCTCTCCCCTTCTTTTTGAATTGAATGACTGGTTGCATGTTGGATTTTAGAAAAAACAACTTTTCCATGCCTATTCTCTCTGTCAAGTAACTTCTTTTATACAGTCAATCCTAGAATAAGTGGGGGGAGGGAGTTAATCTAATCAGAAACAGTTTGTGAAGCCCCGCAGAGGCTCATAGCTGTTACACTTCTGAGACCACCTGGCAAGTGGTCTGGACTTACCTAGTCTACTGACCCAACGAAGAGACCTCCCCACACACACACCCATTGCCCCCAGTCAATTCTGACTCAGAGACCCTATAGGACAAAGTAGAAATGTCCCATAGGGTTCTAAGACTATAATCTACAGGAACAGATTGCCACATTTTTCTCCCACAGAGCAGCTGGTAGTTTTGAACTGCCAGCCTTTTGGTTAAACTTAACCACTGCCCCACCAGGGCTCTTGCAGTCAAGGCTGGACCCTGAGAATTGGCTTGGGGCCATGGATAAGAGTCGAGTGGCACCCTTTCTGTTTCCTTACCCCCAGCTGTTTATATCTGATTTCAGTGAGAGAAGAGGAGCACATAACACATTTTTCTCTCCTAACAGAAATACCATTCCTTTCTGCCACTGACCAGACAAAGCAACTCTGAATGGAGGGCAATGTCTGAGTTTATATAGCTATATCAGGAGGGTAGGGGATGTGAAGTGTGTAGGATGTGATGAAGTGTAGAATTCTATTAAAAAGGAATTTGAGCTCCATCATATGCTAGATATTGTTTTCTGTTCATCTTAAACGAGACCATCTTCTGGGACTTACGTCCAGTTCTGAGTCAGGTAGCACTAGAGAAGCCAAGCTCTCCATACACGTGCCCTTCATTGATTGTTAGCCCCTGGTATCTCACTGTCACCTTGGATGCAGCTGTGTTTCATTCCCTTGACATCTATGCACACTGATAAATTATCCTCCTCCTCTCAGATGTTGACATATGGAATGACTACCTATTTTACTATGATTTTTCTACTTGTCACAGTGATTCCATTGCTGTTTGAAAGTATATGAACTTTACAGTTTTTAAAATCACTGGAACTTTTTCTTAATTTGGGAAATTAAGCCTCAACCTCAAGTCTAAAACTCTTATGATGACAAACATGAGTTTACCCTAACAAAAGTAGCACAGTGGTCTTCACTAATGCATATACAGCCCTCTAAGGAGTACAGTTTATCACATTAGCTGCTGAGGCTATGCAGATTTATGATGATTGCTCAGCTGATCAGCATAATATAAAAGGGGCTTATTAAAATTCATATTTGGCTCTCTGGTGATTATATCTGATGGCACACGCTTTGTTAACTGATAACCTTGCTGTCCATTTCATGTGTGATAATTTACAAATGAAGTGCTTGTACTTGTTTTGATAGTCTTGTAAAGGTTTCAAGGCCATTTTGTCTTGTCTGTGACATGTTAAAATGCCATTTTCATTTTAACTAAGTAGGAAATAATTATATTAGTGGAGGAAAAATACTAAGGGTGTGCAGAATGGCTTGTCACTCCTGACTTGGACTCATCGTCTAGTCTGCTCTTGCTGACTGAGCGCCATTTAATTCCCTAAAGAGTTCTGATTAAGTCACGAGTGTATGTGAGAACAAAGACACCATCCTATAGTGACTTCAAAAACAGCAAGAGGAAAGTGCCCAACTCCATGTTTGATATTCTTTCGGCACAGCACTGTTGCTGGAGAATAGTCCATTTAACACTCTGCTCAAGGAAAGCAGTTGGGTACTTGGAGGTAGCTCTGCTCCTGCCTGGAGCTGGTCTGTCAGCTCCTTTGTTTTGGCCTTTTTCTTCCAGCACATGGAGTGTTTGCACATCCTTACACTGAAACCACATCAGAAACAAATGGAAACCAGAAATGCAGTAGATAGACCCATATGTTCAGATTAAAGTAAACAAAACTCAAAAGGAGAATGATTAATTGAGCACAGTTATAATTCAGAGGGTGAAAGCTAAATAAGGAAAAATATTGCACTTTATCTCAGAACATGAGACTTACTGGTCTTGAAGTAATTTAAATCAAAATTCCACTACCGTAAAGTTGAATTCTGACTCATAGTGACCCTATAGGACAGACTAGAACTGTCCACATAAGATTTCCAAGGCTGTAAATCTTTATGGAAGCAGACTGCCACATCTTTCTCCACAGAGTGGCTGGTGAGTTCAAACCAATGACCTCTAGATTAGCAGCCAAGCCCTTAACCATTGCACCACCAGGGCTCCTCCTGAAGTAATTTGGTGCTGGTTGATTTATAATTTCACTACCAAAGAGAAAAAATTCTCTGAGTTACTGAGGTTCTGTAGTAGTAGTAGTTATGTGCCGTCGCGTCAGACCCGACTCATAGCGACCCCTCCTTGGGTTTCCAAGGCAGTATCACTGCGGAAGTAGATTGCCCCATCTTCCTTCTGAGGAGTGGCTGGTGGGTTTGAACTGCCAGCCTTCTGGTTAGCAGTCAAGTGCTTTAGGCACTATGCTACCAGAGCTCCTACTGAGGTTCTGAGATGAGAAAATTCCTAACAGCCAAAATAAGAGATTTCCTGTGACGCAATTCTGTGATTTAAAGGATTTCAAGTTTGTGTTTGTTTTCGACGATGGGCTTAGTTTTCCATAGAATCAAGTCCTTAACTCTTTCTCCTGGCTATCACAGTAATTGGCTTGTCAGTAACAGCACTTAGAAGAAGAAGCTTTGTATATAGGGTGGCTAAGGTAAGGGAATGTCTATTCATGGAAGTGGTACTTAGAAAAAAAATGCATATTTTTCATATGCATTTGTAGCTGGTCAGCCATTTACCCTTTTCCTCAACTAACCTTAGTGCTCACTTCTGGTGATAGGACCTACTGTCTGGCAGGCAGACTTCCTTTTTAAAAATAATCAAGTTGTTATTCTCTATTAACCTAGTTAAATATTAACTAATATATATGTCAGTATTTATTGGGCTTTATCAAAATAGTGCTGATAATTTCCCATAGTATTTTAAAGACTCTGTGTGTGTGTGATAAAAAATACTTAAGCATTTTAAAGTTATTTACTTAGTTATTAATATTTTGTTAATACAAGGACCACTTTGCATAGATTACATATTACATAGATTGCATATTGTGATTTGGGGTATTTCAAGGAAAGGATCAAACCCTCTGCTCACAATGTGTGTGTGTCTGAAATCTAAAATCTAGAGTTTTTATTGACTTCCTTTGGATTTTCATAGTTCTTCTCTTTGGTACCCATTGCTGTTGAGTGGATTCTGACTCCCAGTGACCCTATAGGACAATACAGCTGTCCCACAGTAGTCTTCGTGGAACCAGACCACCACATCTTTCCCGTGGAACAGCTAGTGAATTCAAATTACCGACCTTTCTGTTAGCTGAGAGTTTAACCACTGTGTCCCCAGGGCTCCTCCTTGGGGACCTCCATAATTCAGGTGCCCCTTGGAGGAAGGGAGCTTTAGCAGTATAGTGGGTAAGGCATTTGGCTGATAACCACAAGGTCAGCAGTTCAAGCCTTCAAGCCTACCAGCTGCTCTGTGGGAGGAAGATGAGGCCACCTACTTCTGTAAAGATTTACAGGCTTGGAAAACCAATGGGGGTTGCTATGAATATGAATCAACTGGATGGCAGTGGGTTTGGTGGTTTGATTTTTGGAGGGAGAGAGCATAATCCTTGAACAACCTAGTGTGCAGTATTTGTTTTTCAGAATAATTCTTAGGGCAGCATGGGAGAACTGGATGTCAAGGATGAATAAGACTCACACCTCTCCGTGGTTCAGGACCAGCCCTTGTAACTCTGGTTCAGGAATAAGTGTGTCTTAATACAGAAGCACATTAGTATATACTCACTGTTGTCAAGTCGATTCGATTCATAGTGACCCCTCCTTGGGTTTCCAAGGTGGTATCACTACAGAAGTAGATTGCCTAGTTTTCCTTCGGAGGAGTGGCTTGTGAGTTTGAACCACCAGCCTTCTGGTTAGCAGTCAAATGCCTTAGGCACTGTGCCGCCAGAGCTCCCACATTAGTATATAGTGTAGTGGATTAAATTGTGTCCCAAAAAAATATGTATTGTAGATCCTAACCCCTATACCTGTGGTTAAAATCCCATTTGATAATGGGTTTTATTTTTTACATTAATGAGGCAGTATTAATGTACAATAGTTTTAAGCCAATCTCTTTTGAGATATACAAGAACAGATTAAGCAAAGATTAGCAAGTAGAGATGGGGGAAGATAGATGCCAAGCCACATGAAGATCACAGAAGAGCAGGAGCTCAGGAAAAAAAAAAAGGAGAGAGACCTTGCTCCAGAACTTAGAAAGAGAGAGCCTTCCTGTAGAGCCAACTTTCTGGATTCAGATTTCTAGCCTGAACTGTGGGAAAATAAATGTCTATTTGTTAAAGCCACTCACTTGTATTTCTGTTATAACCCACTGCCATC